CAGGTAAATTACTGTACACAGTGTATTCATTAATTTTCATTTTCATGTAGTAAAGGCTCTATGCCTTCATAAAGGATGTACTTTTCCTTTGTTTAAGGGTATTTGGGCAGTTTATTCTCTGTTGTATTCTCAAGCAAACAATACATACAAGTACAGTACAGTATTTTCTGAGGAAACACGCATACTTATCCTTTTTTAACCCCATTCCTGATAACCCGGCATTTTCACAAACTCGGCCACCCTTCGGTCCACATTAGGCCGAGTTTTCGAGGTTCTACTGTATTGGTGAAAGAATTTTTGAAATCGGATGAGTAGTTTCGGAGATTACCTCCTGCATACAAACTTACATACAAACATTACCTCTTTATAATATTAGTATAGATATAGATATAGATAAAGACTCTACTAAAACTAAAATCACCGATATATCAGATTTTTGGAATTATTCTTTTTCAATATTTTATATAATATGCTACTTTATGTTTACCATTACCTCAACATTTTATTTTATACAGTAAGTTCATAAGATTTTCTTCTAATTTGCTGTAATTAGCATTTTGTTGAGAAATATTGTATATTCTGTTGAGAAAAACAGAATATTATATATATAATTACACATTGAAATAAATTATTAGTGAAAAGTTTCTCTATAAAGAGTAGCATTCAATCAATATTTAAATTAAAATGACAGAAAATTTACACTCCTATCTTCATAAAAATTGATTAATCCTGATTTTGAGGGAAATATCAGCATAAATTCTTTATGAAATAACTATTATTAACATATTTTTCTGTAAACACATTTATATCTGATCATGTCTCAGTATACAAACAAGAAATAATTGCATTATTTTAATTTATATGTTTTGTTCAAAGATATAAGTATTTTTTAAAAACAATTTATTTTTCATAAAAAAAATGCTATTTGCTTACAGACAATATCAGTTTAGTTAAACAAATATCATGTAAATTTCATTTATATTTTGGCAATGATTTAAGCAATCACTGAATATGTTAGATTCTATATGAAATTGTAGTATTATTTTTATTTTTCTGTAGGTGATAGCTTATCCTTAAAATAAAAATATTCCATGACTGATAATATCTAATAAAAATTAATCTGGAACAAAATAATTTTAAGTCCAGAATTATTGGTAAACATGGATTATCATTTTTAATTCTTCAAATTTATAAAAAGATTCTTCAGATTTATACAAAAACTTTAATTGTAAATAAACAAATTCTAGTAATGTTCTCTGTCTTATCTTCCTCATAAACTTCTTTGAAAATTTAAAAGTAATGAGTATGATCAAAATGATTGCTATCAGTTTAATCACATCTATGTCAATTAATAATAAATATTAAAGAAAGAAACCAAAAAGAAAACACTTTAAGATAAAAGATTTACAATATATGATTGTTAAGAACTTAAAATATTACTAAAGCTAAATAATTATATACTGACTTCAAACTGGATAACAGTATCTTCTGAAATAACCATATCTCGTGTATATATTGCTCTTTCTCCTTCATTTGAATCAAAAATTAATGATTGCCGTTTTTTATCACTGAAATAGAATGATGCATTTCTTATTAATCAAATATATTTTAAGTCTATTAAATATTTTTTAAACAAAAATAAATAAGACAGACCAAAAAAGATTGATGGTTATAATATTAAAAAACAGAACAAATCGAAAACTATTGTTGTTTAATGAAAAAAATAAAATCATAGTTAGGAAAAATTATTAAAATAGTATTAAATGCTGCATACATTCATTTTCAAATAATAACAAATAATCATCTAATGGTCAATACAGAAATATTGGAAGATGCACACCAGTCTCAAATAAATTTTAGTATGGCGTGGATAGACTATCATAAAGTGTATCAGATGAATGGCTTCTTAAAATTCTTGATATTTATAAATGCCCATCTATGGTTAAAAGATTCTTCCAAATGACTATGCCTACATGGAGAGTGATTATTACTGCTCATGGCTCCCAGGATTTAATCACTGCTCAACCTATTTACATAAGACATAGAATATTTCAGGGTGATTCTCTCTCCACTGTTGTTCTGCACAGCTATAAACCTGCTTTCATTCATACTAAATAAATATGAAAGGAAAGGCTATAAATTGAAAGATAGTATCTGGATTAATCATCTCTTATATATAGATGACCTTAAGGTTTATGCACATAGTAGAAATAATGTAAAAGTATTACTGGATAGCATTGAGATTTTTACAAGTGATATAGGGATGTGTTTTGGGCTGGATAAATGTAACATACTACATATAACTGCAGGACACAGGAGTAGTGCTGTGGAGAATATACTACTGAGTGGAGAAATTTTCAAGTAACTTGCAATTGGTGATAGATATAAATACTGGGGTGTTCAAGAATCAGGATAACTAGAGCATAGCAACATTAGCATGCATAGCATACCTAGCAACAAGTAAAGGAAACAGATAATAAAAGAATATTTTAGAAGGATTAAAAAACTTTTAAATACACACCTTAATTCGCGATACTTAATAAAAGGTATAAATAAGTATGCTATCCCGGTCTTGCTTTGCTCATTTGGTATAATCAACTATAAAAATAGTGACCTAAAGAAAATAGATGTCAAAACACGAAAGTTACTAGCAATTAAAAAGGCACATCGGCAAAAAGCAGAGGTAGAAAGACTGTACTTGCCGGTAAATCAAGGAGGAAGAGGACTATTAAATATATGTATAATGCACAAACAGTTAAATATAAACAATACATAAAAGAGATCATCTGATCGAAGTAATAGTAAAGCATGATATNTATAAATAAGTATGCTATCCCGGTCTTGCTTTGCTCATTTGGTATAATCAACTATAAAAATAGTGACCTAAAGAAAATAGATGTCAAAACACGAAAGTTACTAGCAATTAAAAAGGCACATCGGCAAAAAGCAGAGGTAGAAAGACTGTACTTGCCGGTAAATCAAGGAGGAAGAGGACTATTAAATATTGAGTATATGTATAATGCACAAACAGTTAAATATAAACAATACATAAAAGAGATCATCTGATCGAAGTAATAGTAAAGCATGATATAGATAGAGATAAATATTCAATAATAACAGAAGCGCAAGAGATAGAAGGTGAATTATATTTACCACGAGGAAATATACATACAGATGAAGAAATTAAAAAATCAATAGTAAAATGGCATAATGTTGTTTGAAGAAATAAACAATTACATGGCCAATTTCCTAAAAAAGGTGTTAGATCAGGGTAATACAGATAGAGAGCTTGTGTTTGAATGGATGAAAAAGCAACAAATAGCCTGATGTATTGAATCATTAATATTTGCTATACAGGACCAGCCTGTTATGACACGACAATATCAACATGGCATCTTAAAGGTAGCCAGTGGATGGGAAATGTCGCCTATGTGCGACTAAAGATGAGACCACGCAGCATATTATATCAGGACACGAAAAACTGGTGGGAACTTGTTATGTAAGATGTCATAATAACCTTGCCCAGTATGTCTACTGGTGCCTGGCCCAAAAACATAAAATAGAAGTTGCTGACCAATAGAGGAACGAAATATTACTCCAGCCACAAGTTAAGGAAAATGGTTCGGCCAAGATCCTATGGGAAATGCCTGTCCAAACAGATCACTGTATCTCATAACAGACCAGATATAATTTATTTTGATAAAAGTCACAATAAAACATTTTTAATAGATATAACTGTACCATCAGATTATAACATTGGTGCCAAAGAAATTGAAAAATTGAGTAAATATAATTTTTTGAAATCAGAAGTTAGCTGCCTGTGGAATACATAGCCGACTGTTGTTCCAATAGTAATAGTAGCAACAGGTATAGTAGTGAAAAACATAAAGAAATACATAGCTCAATTAGAAGCCAACATTGATATTAGTATTCTTCAAAAATAGGCAGCTATACACACATTGCTTATACTCAATAGTGTACTTGGAAATGCTATCTTTGAGGTCAATACAACTGATCAACTCAAGCATGATATACAGCAATCTCAAGGCATACAGCAATCTTCACATCTGCTGCAATCATCAGATATGCATCATTCATTAGTTAATCCGGATTTACCTAATTCGACTTTTGAGACTAGTACACAAAACTCATCTGAAAACTTGTTGAGAAGAGGAAAAGGGAGGAGAAGAGAAACTATTTGCACATAAAGTGCAACTAATACAGTAAAGGGAGGAAATGGGTACCTTCTTTCCCATAGTATTCTTTATTCCAATGTAATTCGTGAATATTTTAAATAAATAATAATAATATAGACTACAGAAAAGCATTTGACAGTGTTCCACATAGTTGGTTGCTACATATTCTACTCATCTACAAAATACATCCATCACTCATTGCATTCTTCTAAAACACAATGCAGTACTGGAGAACAACACTACATCTCAGGGTTAGTAACACTTCCATACATAAAAGCCAAATATTCAGCAGATGAGGAATTTTTCAAGGAGATTCCTTAAGTACTCTCTGGCTCTGCTTAGCCCTGAACCCATTATCCAATATGTTAAACAACATGCAATACGGCTACAATATCAGACACGAAAAAACAACACAGTTTACACTGTCACATCTCATGTACATGGATGTCATAAAACTTTATACATCCACACATAAACAACTTCATCAACTCCTACAAATCACACATTCATACACCAAGGACATACAAATGGAATTTGGCCTATATAAATGTAAAACACTTCACATAGAAAAAGGAATCCTGAAGAAAGAAGATTTTGCACTTGGAAATGGAGACGTTATTGAATCCATGGAAGAGGGCAAGTTCTATAAGTATTTAGGATTCCAACAGGCCAAACAGAACATACACAAATAAAGCAAAGATTAATTAAAAAATACTAAAGTAGGTTAAATGCTATTCTCAGAACACAGTTAAATGCAAAACACACAGTTAAAGCAATAAACACATATGTCATCCCAGTCCTCACATACTCTTTTGGAGTTATACATTGGACTCACACAGATCTTGAGCAACTCCAAAGGAAAACAACAACAACGCTTACTAAGCATAAACAACATCATCCTAAATCCGCCACAGAAAGATTAACCCTTCCAAGTAAAGATGGCGAACGTGGCCTGATTGACATAGTTAACCTTCACTACAAACAAATACAGTCACTGCAAGAGTTTTTCTACAAAAAACAAGAAACATCACAGTTACATAAAGTAGTAACTCTAGCAGATTCAAATAACACACCATTAAACTTACACTAACATCATACGAACATGATACAACGTATAAAAAGTATAGACACCATTAAGCAATCATGGGCTCGAAAGGCACTCCATGGCAGGCATCCTTATGACCTGACCCAGGATTTTAATGTGTCAAATGTGTCAAACAGCTGGTTAGATCAGCTGTTTGACACATTTGACAGGATGCCTCTTTGGGGAGACAGAAGGATTCATGATTGCCATACAGGATCAGGCCATAAATACTAAAAACTACAGAAAACACATACTCAAAGATACAACACTCACAAATGACACATGCAGAAAATGTCACATCATGCCAGAAACTATACAACACATCACTTCTGGTTGCAAGCTCTTAACACAGACAGATTACTTACATAGACACAATCAAGTAGCAAATATAATACACCAAGAGCTTGCAAAGAAACACAAATTATTAGACATTCACGAACCATACTACAAATACAGACCACAGACAGTATTGGAAAACAACATGCACAAAATGTACTACGACAGAGCCATAATCACAGATAAAACAATTTACAACAGACCAGACATCACACTCATTGACAAACACAATAAAATCACATACATTATAGACATTTCCATTCCAAACACTCACAATGTACAAAACACATGCACTGAAAAAATCAGCAAGTACATAGAACTTCCCCAGAAAATAAGGCATCTGTGGAGGATGGATAATGTGCTTATTGTACCTGTCATTCTCTCTTCTACAGGTGTCATATCACACATACTACACAAAAACCTGGGAACATTACAATTGAATAGAAACACATACATTACACTATGGTCTCAAAAGTGTGATAAACTCTATGATATTAAGTTACATAAATTGGTAACAATATATAAAATAATATGTTTCAAAGTAGTTTCCAAAATAGAAATTTTATTATACAAAGTTTCTTAAAAGAAGAAATTTCTTGAGAAATCATTAATGAAGAAATTAAAAAATCTTTCATGTTTTTTTTTAAATATGTTTTCAGTTTTGTTTATTTCATGTTTTAACATATATTTTAACATATTTATTTAAAATAAATGATATGTTTAAACCATAAAATAACTTGGTTCATTGACTTCAATAAAGAAAGTTCTTCTTTGATTTATCTTAGTAAGTTAGTTTCTTCCTTGAATCTTTAAATAATATATTTTATTGAACACACAAATATAATTTTCATTAAATGCAAATATTTTGGGATAAGCATCATTTGTAATTTATTAGAACAGGATAAATTATTTACAACATATTATACATATAAATATACAGTAAAAATCCTATTTACCTGCTACAATAAGATCCAACTCTACTTCCAGGCCAAAATAGCCAAGAATCAGTTTGCAAAAGTGTTTCTACTGGATCATATAAAATATTTGGATTAACAATCATACCTCCAATTATAAAATCATCAATTGCCCATTCTAATGATCCAAAACCTGAAAATTAATACTTATTATTAATTTTAATATGAATTAAAATTAATATTAAATTAATTTCAATAATAAATATATATTATTTATATATTGTTATTTTAATTATTATAGTAATGTGAAATAATGCAACAACTGTGTTTCATATTTTTAAAGACAATCATTAAAAAAAATATTTGTTCTATAAATTCAGTAACAGAATACAGTAAGACCCGCTTAACATAAGGGATATGTTCCTAGACAACAAAGTGCTAAACGAAACAGCGTTAAATAAGGTCATTTTAACACAGAGTAAATAGGGAAAGGAGAACATGCAACCAAAAGTAAACAGATTTTACTTTAATTTTAAGTTATTTCTATATTAATTTGCATAATAATATATGTTAAATAACACAAGCATATGTACACAGAAATGTAAAGTTCATTTTTTGTGATAAAGGTCCTGACTTTTCTGAAATTCTTGTTTTTTTGCAAAAAGTCACTTAGTTTCATTTGTCGCTTTTTTCTTTCCTTAATTAAGCAAATGTCAGTAGCAGAAGATCACATCCAAAATGCCTCGTTTTGCTTTTGCACTCCTTTCAAAATCTGGATCATTCGCTACAATTTCATCAACAATTTTGGTTATCTTACCAAACTTTTACTAAGGAAATCTGTAGAGAAATTTTTTGAGTTCTTCATTTTCAGAATCTCTATTTTCCAGTTTCACATGAATTTCATGTTCTGCCAGTTCTTGAAGGTCGTCATTGGTAAGGCTCTCACCAGAAACCTGCTGTAACTCCTCACTATCCTGCTCGTCACATCTCCTAGTCCTGCTGCATCAATTAGATTGAGTTTGGTCAACCTAACAATACAGCAATAGGCTCTTCTCGTTGAGAATTATTGGACATCTTCAGCCATAACTTCTTCCACACTTCATTTCAGCATTTATCAGTTAATTCTTTCTAAGCAAAGTTGATATTGCCTACAGCATCCATGTTATATGGATGTTATTTTTTACCAAAATTGCACCAAACAAACATAGATTTAAAGAAAGTACACCTTTTTGCCACGTTTTGCTGATTGAATCGTGTTCATAAATAAAATTGTATTATATACGAATCAATGAAATGCCGCGATAATTTAAATCAGCATAAAATTTTGAGCTTTTTTATATGCTTTGAGCAGACCATGTTATATCGAATCAGCATTAAGTGAAGCAACGTTAAGCAGGATCTTACTGTATCTTGGATCCAACTATCCTACTAAGACCTACTTCCAATAACAGCTGATGATAGTTAAATTTGTTAGTACAATTTTTTTTCAGTGTTATCATCATTTAAGTTTGGTTATATATGTTTTATAAACATGATTTGTGGCATCATAATGCATTTAACCAATTTCCAAATTTCCAACATTTAATTACATTCCTGGCTGTTATATATTACAGAGGGATAGTATAGCAATCAGTCAAAAAATAACCCTAAAGATTTTTACATTTTTTGGCCTGGGACACTTTGAAACATTGAGAAATACAAAAAAATTTAGAGGTAATTTCTGTATATATAAGTGTTAGTGTGTGTGTGTGTGTGTGTGAGTGTGAGTGAGTGAGTAAGTGAGTGAGAGAGGCACAATTTTGTTTACCATCTTTGAAGCTTAATAACTGCTGTGCTTTTTGTCAAAAATTTCTGAAATTTTGCAGTGATTAGGGGGATTGATGCTATTAAATTTTGGTGATTATCTCTCAGTCCCTTGACCTTGTGGGTGGGAAGATAAAGGGGATCATGTGTATCTCCAGTAGGATCAGACTTAATGACAATTTTACTTGTTATTAGCATTTACATTTTTTTTATAAAACTCATATCTACCCACAAAATTAAGCTTTTTGCCATTTTATAATAGTTAAAAATATAACAAGTTTTAATACAATATGATAAGAGATGGCACCATCAAATGTTGCTGGAAAAGTTAAGCAACTCATTACTGGATTTTTTTCGTAACAGTAACAGTGAAAAATAGCAAAGAAAAATAAAGTGAATGCAGTAGATAAATGAAGAAATTAAAGCAATGATCGATATGTAGAAAGAAAACATACAAGATGTTAACAGTAAAAGATGAATATGTTCAAAATTTAATAGACCTTACATTATTAAAAAATCATTAATCTTTATTGTGCAATCATCAATTGATGAGTTTTTTCTTAGAACTATATATATATCTATAATTGCACAATACATTCTATTTTTATATTTAATATTTGATAATTTTCCAACTTTATTAATAAATATAATGGATTATTCTACTAATTACACTTTTGTTTATCTCACTGATTTTAAATATATGATAGTCATATGTACAGTATCTGATTTCTCTTCATATTCCAACATCATTTTTCACTTATGTTTTCTTGCCATTTAAACATTGTAGTTAGTATGCTTTTTCAGTTAAGTAAAAATTGTTTTGTTTTAGAATTAGTCATGTATTCATTTTGTGTAACACTTATTCAATATAATTATATTTTATAGAATATACCATATTTACTTGCATATAAAATGACCTCGCATATAGGACGAGGTGTGACTTTAAAGATCAAAATAAAAAAAATTAGATTTATTAATACAATTCTAATTTTATTTTGTTTAATCACAAGTAAAATATCAAATGAATGTAAATGCACACATTGTCCTGCAAAAATTACTGGCATTTTAAACTTTATGTTGTCAAATAACAAAGTTTCATAGATAAATTTTTTTGATTAAATCAAATTTTTGACCATACAAATAAATTTGGGTCAGTACAAAATAATCTTTTTTTAATAATCCAGAGGTCTGCAGATGTGTATAAATACAACTGATTTCTACCTGAGTGATATTGTGAAGAATTTTAATGCTGTATTGTAGATGTCAGATCTTCCAAGAAAAGGTTGGTGTCAATTACATATTGTATGTATTTTTTATTGTTTTTTTAATCGTTGGTTTTTAAGTTGTTAACATCTGTCTCTAGCTGGATTATTAAAAAAAGGATTATTTTGTACTGTCCCAAATTTATTTGTATGGTCAAAAATTTGATTTATGTTGTTGATTTTACAAGATTTTTCCTTAATTTGTTCGTGTAAAGCTGGATAATCGGGAACCTTTTATTGCCAATTCTTAACAGTCGAATCCATTCTCCATCGATTACACTTATGAGTTTCTCCAAATTCTGATTTCTGAATAATCATCTGTTTTCATTTGGGAATGGATTAAAACTTATATCATGCTCCCATGTGATTTTGGAATTTCAATCTGGAATTCAATTCAAAAGCTTTGCTTTTCCTATTGCTATTCATCTTTACTCCTGACAATACACAAGAACAATTCAAATGACCCAGATAAAATACTTATGTTTTTAAATACAAGACTGCAAGCATCCGGTAAAAAATTGTGAATACACGGTTTGCAAAAATTATTTGCAAAAACGCAATAAATCTTTCGCTCGCGCATATAGGATAACCTAGGAATTTGAAGCTGTGATAAATGAATAAAAACCTCATCTTATATGCACGTAAATACGGTATATCATACAATATTTATTGACGGATCTTACCTCATTATTTTATAGACACATGAAAGCAACAAAACTGATACCTTCAAGTTAAACTTAATTTTTTGTCCCAATTATTATTTACTAATAATATTGTAGTCAATTATCCAGTTAGCTTCATTCATTTAACAGCTATAAATATTAGAACCACTAACATAAACTGTGATCAGAGTATAAATGTTAAATAAATTTTTGGGTTGGTTTATAGTCCAATGACAACATGATGCTACAGCAACCATGCTACCATTGTTGCCAATGCCACATTGTACCAAGTTAATCACTGGTTAAAATTTGACTATAAACTGGGCAATGTTCTTGTTAATCTCAGTGACATTGAATCAAAAGGCAAAAATATGATATCAGTTGAAAATATAAATTAGAAAGTTCAAAACAACTCAAGGTAAAAGTGAACTTTGTTATAATTTATGGTAAAAAAATTATCATTTTGATGATTGGCTATTCTATTCAATTTTTTTACTAAATTTGTCATTGTGACAAATTTAGTAAAATGGTTAGACACAGACAAATCTAGCACGAAAATTGAATAAATAGCCAATCACCAAAATGATAATGGATTCTACTAGATAGAAGTAAACAATAATAAAATAGAAAAAAGTAATTGAGTACAAAGTTGAAAATACCTGTAAAATTTTAATAATTTCCATATTCTTCTACATTTACACAAAAATATCAGATATAATAATATATATTTATATATAATTTTGTAAATGCAGAATAGAGATGTAAGTGATTTGGTAAAAATTATTAGAATATATACTGGTGACAAAAATATTATTAGTTAATTGAAGCATTCAAATAAATATAACAGAAAAATTTACCAGAATAAAAAAATATTAAAATATTAGCCAAAACATTGATAAAATGGCAATACTAGCATACGTAAAATATTTTAAAATTGGTTATTTCCAAATTTAAGACTTATATTACAATATTTAAAAACTTCAATCAAATATAGAGTGAAAGAAAAATAATCACATTTATTATATTTATATCTGTAAACAAATATTTTCATTACCATTCCAGACCAAATATAAGGATAAATTATTTATATATCATATAATGTATAATTAGTCAGTAATACTAAATAGAAAAATCAGTAATGAGTTTCATAACTTTCCCAGCAACATTTAAAACTGTGTGTAGTGCCATCTGTTATGATATTTTATTAAAAAACTATATAATTAATTATTATAAAATGGCAAAAAGTGCCATTTTGAGGATAGGGATGAGTTTTATAAAAAATTGTAAATGCTAATAATAAGTAACATCTTAAAATCTTCATTAAATCTGACTCTACTTGAAAGACACTATTTCCTCTATCTCTCCACCTCCTTGACTTTTAACTACCAAAATTTAATAGCATCAATCCCCTAATACACAAACCTCCCTACAAAATTTCAGAAATTTTCAACAAAAGACACAGGCAT